TCAGCAGGACTTCTTTTTGCAATGTTTTACAAATAAGCCTGGTATCATCACAGAGAAAAGGTGAACTTCTCAGAGTTGACAGAAAACAGAAGTACTAAAGAGGACTGGTTAAAAACCAGCTATATGGGGTAAGCAGGCAACAACAGGAGATTTAAGATGATTAAAAGGCCCTGAAAAGGGCAATATCTGTGCCAGTGGACATAGTTGTTTCCTCTACTTCAGGAAGAAGTCATCATTGGGGTGAGGAGAGGAAGGTGCAGAGAAAACAGCAGCCAGCCAGCAGCCTGCTGTAGAGGGGTGCACCCTGCAATGTACAAATAATGGGAATTTTTAAGAGACCCCACTCTACATTTGGCAGCAACTAAGTCGCTAATTGAACAAGAACATTTACATAGACCCATCAGAAATCACCAGTTCCAGTCATGGACTAAAGACACTGACATCAAAAGCTATGGCTATTCTACCAAATCAAATGTGCTCAGGATTATTTCTAAACCTGATACTAATAGACTTGAAGCAATGCAGTCTGTGTAATCGAACACTTGCCCCCCAAATGAGCTGCACATTCAGGCTCCCAGGGAGTCTATCAAACCTGTTAAATACTGAGTTTATTTTAATACCTGCTAGCATACACCAGAGTCAAAATGAGCTAGAAGAGATTCTGTGGCTACCATGCTTCAGGTCTTCATGCTTAATTCCGACATCTTAATATTGCCCTACCTCTGCTCTCTGAAGAAGGAACTCTTGGCTGCAAAAATCACTTGTCACAGTGTTCACAAAGACACAGTGAGACAGCAGTCCAACCACAAAACAGGTTTGAAAAGAGAGAGCACTCTGTGCTTTAGGGGAATAGACCCTCATGCAGCGTATGCAGAATGGAGTCAGAGTTTAGACTATTTAACCAGGCTTTTGGGGATCTAGTGGAGAAATTTTCTCGGGTTATCAGCTCTAAAGACTCAACCTCAGCTCTCCACTGTAATGGGACTAAATGTTCATGGGCGTTAATGACCATTTGGGTCACCACCGTCATTTAACACAGGGCTCTACAGAGCTAAATGCACAAATATATGATAGCTTTAGCTAAAGAATTGGATTCTGTAACTGTAATTGTGACTGCGACAGTCTTGGGTGTCAGAAAGCAGCAAACGCATGTCCTTGCAGGACAGCGAGCCTCTGCTGCCGACATAACAGAAAACTGTAATCTACAGCCAGGAAAACCTAAGTAAAAGTCAAATTCAGTAGTTCCAGGGGCTGCAAGGATACTTGAGTCCTACTGTGGCAAAGTCTACAATGCAGCCTCACACAGCCCAGCACCCTTTCATCCTCTTGCCTAGATCAGCATCAAAACCTCTGGCATCATCAAGCCAGGAAAAGCAAAACAGAGGCTGCTCAGGGGCTGGCCGGAGCACATCGTCTTCAGTGGCTTGTATTGCCCTTCCCCACACAAAGGTGAGATGTCTGTCCACATGCTGGGTGGCCACTGCCTCAAGGGGAGGTTCTGGGTGGGAGGTGGATGCAGTTGGAGCCCCGTGGTCATCTGTTCATGCGCTGCAGGATGGTCACGCAGCCGTGATAACTGGTACAGCGCTGCAGCGGCGGCTGCTGCTCCACGCTCCCTGTTATTGGGTCGAAAGTGAACGCTTTGTCCGTGCCTTCCCCGTTCTCATCTCGGCCACCCAGGATGTAAATCTTCCCTCCGCATACCGTCAGGCCACAGCTCTCCTGCAAAGCAGAAAGAAAGCCCAAGAGTTGAGGAACAAGCCCTCCGGCTTTAGGCAATGGGGCTGAGCAGGGGGGTGAGTCATTGCAATGGACTCAACTCCCACCTGCCCAGCCGTAGGGTGTGAAAGTAGGCAAGATACGTGATGTCTGGCACTCGGGGAGCTGAATCTTACTGTTTCAGTAGGTGTTTAGGCACGTGAAGTGCCTCAAGCCAATGATGGGACTGTTGCTCTTTCTGGCAGTCCCCCAGGCACAGCACAGACTCACAGGCACACCAAGAGCCCGGTGAGCTAGTGAGCACCTCCGTGTGAAGGTCACTTATAAGGGTACACTGACATGGGCATTTTAATTCGGATCAGGGAGAGCTGTGCCCCATCATTCCTCTTCACTGTGCAATGGCTCACAGTGCAGCATGGCTTTGGAGTGCCAAACCGTGATGACACTAAACCAAGATACACCACCACCAGTCCATGTTTAATCCACAGACCAGACCGGAGCCAGCATAACCCTCACCCTGAAACGCATAGTGTGGAGAACAGGTCCTCAACAGCAATGGTTACACCCTACAGATCCACTCCTCTGGCATTAATAGCAAGTATAGACACAGCCTCAGCCAGAAAACTTGGGTTTGCTGTGAGAGAGACATCCACCAGGCAGTATGGACACTGATGGTAAATATGAATGCGTTTGAGTTGCTCTACAGAGGTCAGGTTTGCATGCTCAGGGCCAAACCCACAGGATATTTTCCTTGCATTCAATTGCAGCAAAACACAGATGGCTGCATTTGTTCCAGAGGACGAAGGCTCAGAGCTTCTTCCCTAAATCTCTTCCTTACCAGAGGCCCAGGGAGGGTGGCCACTTCTCTCCAGCTGTCTTTCCTTGGATCGTAACTGAAGATTTTACTGAGAAGTCCACCTACAACATAAATGATGTTGTCCAAGCAGACAGCACTGATGCACCTCTGGTAAAAGGGGGTGGGAGACAAAAGTGTCCACTTGTTGTCCTCTGGATCGTAACACTGGACCTGGGAGGAGAAACGCAGCTATGGGAACATGAATTCACCACATCTCCCTGCTTGGATGAAGGTGCTAATCACTAGAAATTAAAGTCCATGGGGACAGAAACGTGGAGGGGAACTTCGATACCCAGAGACCAATGCAATGAGCAAAGGGATGAGAGGTTCTAGCATTCCCTCTTGCATTCAAGTCTCCCAGACAAACTGCAAGCCTCCAGGGTGGCTGTCCTTGACCCACACAGTGCATGGCTGAGTGTTGGGGCTGAGAAGCAATGATGGCTCTTCCTGCAGCTCAGGACACCAGAAGCATCATCCCTGGCTGGCAGAGGTCTCCTCCAGGCCGTTACTACTGTTGCTACTTAACTGAAGTGAATGCCCACAGTGTTGGAGTTTTGTTCCTGTGGTGCCTCATGGCTGACCAGGCTTCAGAGCAGAACAGGCTCTACTGAAACCATGCCTACTGTACTGTTAACTCTTGACAAATTCTCCCTTTGCTCCCTCCGTCTCATTTAAATTTGTAACTTCTCATTTTATGATAAGGGAGCCTTCACTAGTTCTCAAAAAATAAAAAGGCTCCCTTGTAGCTTAAGGACAACCCATTTCCCTCCATGTTCCCTAGCAAACCTTGTTTTTTAGGTCTCTGTCCATTCTTGATGCCCCAGCAATACCTTGTCTGTGTTAGCGGTGTCATCCACAGCACCGCCAAGCACATAGATCTTGTTCAGGCAGGAGACCACAGCCGCCGAGCTCACAGCTTGAGGTAGCGGGGCCAGGGTTGACCAGCTGTTGGAGAAGGTGTCATAGCACTCCACACTGGAGAGGCGATAAAAACCATCAAAGCCTCCCACAGCATAGATCTGCCACAAAAGGAGCAAAGCAAGCTGATTAGAAACTCATGGCCTCACCTAATGGGAGACACTGTCACAGTGCATATGAGGGGAGGCTAGGATTTGGCCAGAAGAACAGACATCAAGCCACGGGAAAACCTTGAGGTTGGACTAGATGACCTTTAATGGTGCCTTCCAACCCAAACCAATCTACGATTCTGTGAAATACCCCACGCTGTATAACTTTCACCCAAAGACTTTAACACAGCTACCTGCAGAAGTCTTGCACATCCCACGGTAGATCTTATTGCTACAACTTCAATTTGTGGCCACTTCAGGTGACAACACACACCCAACTGAACCAATGACATCTTGATTATGAACTAGTTGTTCTCCCATCAAAACCATCTCTAAATGACCCAGAAGACAAATGCATACAGACAGTTTCTCATTGTACTAGGCAGCAGGAGAAGTGGGAGATAGTGCTCTACATGGTTTCTTCCAAAATTTAGGCCATTGCTAACCTTGCCCTGAAGTGTTGCCATTTTGTGCCTCCATCGGCCTTTCTGCAGACAAGCAACCTTGATCCAAACGTTCAGCTGGGAGCTCAGCACCCAAACATCATTGCTGCTGATGTGTCCTCCTGAAAAACAGAAGGATAGAGGGCTGGTGTGATCCCAAGGACAGCCACATCACCTCCCTACACCACAATATTGCATAGTTTCTCCATGCAATGGAACAACTAATGGTTGGACTTGATGATCTTGAAGGTCCTTTCCAACCTAGTGTTTCTGTGATTCTGTGAACTTAGGCCATGGGTTATGGCCATGCAAATTTAGCTGCCCAAGGGAGCCGAGTACCCTCTGGACTTCAAAGCACTTGTTACGCTGCTCCATCGCTTACACAGAACTCATCTGATTGATAGGTATTATATTTTAAGTGAGGGACAGGCAGGAGACTCTGTTGTTTTAGGAAAACCTGTCTGACAGCACACACCAAAACCAGCTTGTTCCACAGCTGAACACTTTTGACAGATACCCAACAGGAGGCAAAGTTCTTTTTAATCCTGCTATCTTCCTCCTCAAAGGTGAAATTGTTTCTTGGGACAGCAAAATCCAAACCACCTAAGGATAAACTTCACCAAGAAGTGACTTTGCTCTGAAGCTGGGATGCATATGAATGCGTCCTAGTGAACAGTCCTGAGGAGTGGCTGTCCAAGCAGAGGTCACGCTGTTAACTTGCAACCAGGAAGGCACTGTCTGGTCTAAGGTATCTCACCTGATATGTACACATCGTTCTTCAGTGTGCAGGCAGCAAACTCTGACTTGGTGTAGCCAGGCACGCTGGAGAGGGCTGTCCACTGCCTGCTCTTTGGGTGGTAGAGGTCCGTGAATGGCAGCTTCAGAAGGCCTTTCTTATCACAGCCCCCAATGACAATGATGACTTCTGCCAGCTCCATGAACCTAGACCATGAAAGGCATGGGTAAGTCCTTGGGCCAGGCTACTCCTTTCCATCATCTCTCCTATTCTATCTATCTGGGACATTGGCAGCACATTCCACTAGATAGGGCAAGGTCCTCTCCTGCATCAGATACTGATTTTCTGGGCAAAGCATTTCACCCCTGCACATATCTTTTTGTCTGCATGATCAAGTCAAAGGCACCTCCCAGCTTGGGTGGGAAGGGGTCCAAGCTGCATAAGGAAAGAAAATGGGAATGACCTTCAAAAGTCCTTCGTAAGATTGCCTCCTGCCACTCACCCCCCCTGCTTCCAGCACAATCAAACCTAATCCTCAAGGCACAGCCACGAGCGTGGAAAGCCGTTCCTGGCAGCACGCCTGCCACAAGCTCTCTGCCTGGAGAGAGAAGTGTTTCCAGGAAATCTCTCCCTCTCCAGCCCTCGTTGCAGTGCGCAGACGGGGCAGACGGCAGGGGAAGGAAAATCCTGCCAGCTAGTAGGTGGCAAGAGAGGAACGGCTCTGCAGGAGGTAGGGGAGAGGAAGGAGGAGGGTGAACGAGGATTTGAAAGGCTTGATCCAATCCCCAGCTCTGCCATGGTTTGTGCAGCCTGAGACAATTCACTTAAGACCAAAGCTGTGAAAGGAGGGAGGTAAAATGCGGATGCTGAGGGGTGGCATTTATCCCCAGTGAGTTTTAGCTGTTTGCATCCTTGAGGAGGTCACCATGGACCCTGTTACCGAGCAGTCCTGTATATAATGGCCCATTGCGGTATTCAGCACAGAGAGGATGTGTCAAACTATCTCTTCCACCTGACACAAATGTGCCCTAAATGCCAGGCTGAGACTTTTGAGAAGTACTGGGGCAACCTCCATCCTTTTGCCCAGGACATGGTGCTGGGCAGCAAAAAAACCTGTGCTCCTTGAGCCAAAGAGCACAAGAACGTGGCCCTGCAGCCCCATGGTCATAGGTGTCCTCTGGAAACGGATGGGAAACCTTGCAACCAACTCGGTTTGATATGGCAACCCACCCCAGAGCAGAGATGGCCATCAGCACTCTTACCGAGCACACCCTAAGGGTTATATGGGACCATGAAAAAAGAGCAGAGGCTTAAAATGTGTCAGGTCAAATCCAAACTTCAGTCACAAAAAGCTGCAGGTTTCCACCCACACCCATCCCCAGAAACTGCTGTTCTCTTTGCATCTTTTTTACGCTGGCAGCTGCCTAGGACAGCATCTCTTCATCTTGCTGTTCCCCAATAAATCAATGGAAAGAAAACAAAAAAATTTAAAAATTGGGGCATGCCCAGGTAGCCACCTGGACAGTAACTGTTTTTTTTCCCCCTCGGACATTAATTCCTGACCCGCAGCAAAGTCTTTGAGCTAGGCACCACGCTGATGGCCAGGAGGACTGAGACCTGTCCAAGCCTTCCTACTAGCAGACAGCTTGGAGAAGGTGAGAGAGAGACCAAAAGAGGTGAAAAGAGAGCAGACCAGTGGCAGAGCTGGGAATGGAAAACAGGTCTCAACCCAGTGCTCTACTTATTGGTAAAAACAAACAGAAATAAAGAGCTACAAACACCCTTTCCTGCCCATAGTCTGGACACATATCTGGATAACAGCATTGCACACCCAGAGCACTTCTGGCCAACAGAAAAAAAAAGTATCACGTGCATTAGTATAAATTTCACAGGAATCTTTTAAGCCAGGCAAACATCTCTAATGTCTCCATTTTGGAAACAGGGAGGCCAAAAGAGAAACAACGGGAGGGAGAAAAAAAAGAAAAAGAATAA